TAGACCTGGAAACCAGCAAGGCCCACCCCAGCAGGGAGGACAGCAGCAGAATAAACCTCCTAGACCTGGAAACCAGCAAGGGCCACCCCAGCAGGGAGTTCAGCAGCAAAATCGCCCTCCTAGACCTGGAAACCAGCAAGGCCCACCGCAACAGGGAGGACAGCAGCAAAATCGCCCTCCTAGACCTGGGAATGAGCAAGCACCCCCACAGCAGGAAAGTGAGGAACAACAAAGTTACTTGTAGATATTTTCTGCATGACCAGGAGGTTCCTCATCAGGACAAAGGTAATCAGAAACCTTATCTTTCATACCAGTCCCCAAATGACACAGATCAGCACACTACTCCTAAAGAATTATGTAGCTAGAGTTTTCCTGCCTTGCCCACATTCAGGAAAAATCTTTGTCACCCACCAATCCCACAGCCACTCAGACCCAACCAAGCAAACACAGAGACTTATATTGTTTACAAACTGTATGGCTGTGGCAGGCTTCTTGCTTAACTATTCTTAGAGCTTAAATTAATCTATTTCCATATATCTATTCCTTGCCACATGGTTCATGGCTTACCAGCATCTTCACATGCTGCTTGTCATGTTGGTGGCTGGCAGTGACTCCTTCTGCCTTCCTGTTCTTTCTTTTCTCCTCTCTGTTAGTCCCGCCTATACTTCCTGCCTAGTCACTGGCCAATCAGTGTTTTATTTATTGACCAATCAGAGTAATTTGCCATATAGATCATCCCACAGCAGAATTAGATCACATATACATCCAAAACTTAAATGGACTCTATATCCTAGAATTCTATGATGGATGTGATTTACCTTCACTCTCCATCAAATGTCTTAACTCTATCAGAATTAGAAAGCCAAAAAACTAAGAAGCATTTCAGGATATGTTATTATTGCATGTTGTGTCTTTCTTCTTGGTGACTTTATCTATCTATCTATCTATCTGTCTGTCTGTCTGTCTGTCTGTCTATCTATCAATCAACTATTTATTTATTTATTTATTTATTTCAGGTGAAATGGAAGACATACATTTAGTGTCTTTTCAATGGAATAATGTTGTAAGTTTACCATCAACATTCTAATAAAATATTTCACATGCAATTACTGTTTGTTGTTTCTTATTATGAGTATGAGTGAGTGAAATCTGGTTCATGTTGCCAAATGTAATGTGAAGATAGAACCATTCCCTTTAGTTACTTCCAGAAAGGGGCCCTCTTTCTCCCTTTACAAATGAGCAAACTGTCACTTGAGAGACCCCCTTTTGTCCATACATAGAATTCTGCCTACAGCTTTGCTGTATTTCCCAGATGCCTGCAATGTTAGCAGGAGACTTCATGTTAGTCCTGGATTTCAAGATTAAACTATATAAACACATTGAACTACTTAAAATGCCCTTAATTAGTCATGTGCCTTGTTTGACCAGTGGGCTAAGGAACATCTGTCTAGGAGTTACTGAAAAAGGTAGTCTTTGTTTCTCACAGGTAATACTCTCTCAGTTCACAATTTATATGTGAGGAAGGGCCTGTTCCTCCTGCTAGTATTCTTTTGGGCATTCAGGTATCAACTGGATCACATTCTTCCTCTGATCTATGCAATGGTGTCATTGGGATATGATGTTCATTGTTTTCATTGCCCTTTTTCTGTTTTTAAAAATATATACCTTGTCCTTAGGAGCCAATGAAAATTTAAGTAGTTTAAGTAACTTTTAGAACTTGAAGCATGATCCTATTTAGACTTATCAATAAAATACAGGAGTCAGATATTGGGCTAAAAGCTAATCTTGCCTTTAAGAGCTGAATTACCTCTTTCATTGTGAATTAGCAATTTCAAAAGCCACAGATTAAATTATTATATGCCTACTTTCAGGATTTGGTATCATTCTATTTATGGCTGAAGTCAATCTTTTTTATTAAGCAGTGTTCATCTCATACTCTTTCTTTAAAAATCCATTTTACATACCAACCATAATTCCCCTACCCTCCCTTCTCCTGCTCCCGCCAACCCGTAGATTCCCCTTCAACACACCCATATCCACTCCTCCCAAAGGGTAAGACCTCCCATTGGGAGTCAACAAAGCCTGGTACCTTATATTGAGGCAGGACAAAGACCCTCTCCTCTGCATCAGAATGAGCAAGGCATCCCACCATGAGGAACTGGCTCCCAAAAGCCAGCTATGTGCCAGGAATAGATCCTGGCACCCCTGCCAGGGTTCCCTCAAACAGACCAAGCTACACAACTGTCTCCCACATGCAGAATCCTAGTTCAGTCTCATGCAGGCTCCCAGCTGTTAATCTAAAATTCATGGCCTCCCACAAGCTTGTTTCTTCTGTCTCCATAGGTTTCCCATCATGATATCAACACCTCCTTGTCCACATAATTCCTCCTCCCTCTCTTCCACTGAACTCCCAGATCATGGTCTGGTACTTCTGGGCTGTACATTTCTGCATCTGCTTCCATCGGTCTCTGGATGAAGGCGTTATGAGGACAGTTAGGATATTCACCAATCTGATTACAGGGGAAGGCCAGTTCAGACACACTCTGCACTTTTGCTTAGGAGTCTTAGGTGGGGTCATCCTTTTTGATTCTTAGTAATTTTTCTAACGCCACAATGGTTCCCTCTATCAAGATATATTTTTTGCTATAAAAAATATATTTTGTTGCTATACCACAACGACCAACCCCCAGCTTGACCATACATTTCCCTCATGTTCTCATCTCCCATTTCATTTCCTCTATTACTTTCCTCCCACCAACTTCAGTTTACTCAGGAGACCTCATCATTTTCACATTCCTGGAGCGATCCATGTGTGACTCTTAGGGTCCTATTTGTTACTTAGCTTCTCTGGATCTGTGGATAGTAGCCTGAGTATACTTTGCTTTACATCTAGTATCAACTAATGAGTGATTACACATCAGGTTTGCATTTCTAAGTCTGGTTTAGCTTACTTGGGATGATTATTTCTAAATCTACCCTTTGTCTGCAAATTTCTTGATGTCATTGTTTTTTGCACCTGAGTAGTACTCCATTGTGTAAATGTACCACATTTTCTTTATCCATTCTTTGGCTGATGGACATCTAAGTGGTTTCCAGGATCTGGTTATTCTACATAAAGCTGCTATGAACTTATTTGAGCAAGTGTCCTTGTAGTATGATTGAGTATCTTTTGGGTATATGCCCGAGTGATATGGTTGGGTCTTGAGGTAGATTGATTCCTGGTTTGCTAAGAAATAGCCATACTAATTTCTAAAGTGACTGTGCAAGTTGTACTTTTAAGGTATGTAAATATTTATGCTGGAATTTTGATGGGATTGTTTGGGTAACATTGCCATTTTTATTATCTTCACCCTGTCTGTCCATGAGAATGGGAGATCTCCCCATTTTCCTCAATTTCTTTCTTCAAAGACTTAAAGGTCTTGGCACAGAGTTCTTTCACACATTTGGTTATAATTACTTCAAGATATTTTGTATTACTTGTGGCTGTTTTAAGGGCTGATGTTTCTCTTATTTCTTTCTCTTCCCAGTTATCTTTTGGGCCACTGATTTTTTTGAGTTAATCTTATATCCAGCCTCATTGCTGAAGTAGTTTATTAGTTGTAGAAGGAGTTCTCTGGTAGACTTTTTGGAGTCACTCATGTATAATATCATATTACCTGAAAATAGAAAATGTTTGATTTCTTCCTTTCCAAATTTTATCTTCTGTATCTCTTTTGTTATCTTATTGCTTTAGCTAGAACTTTGAGTACTGTATTCTATAGATTTGGAAAGAGTGAACAACCTTGTCTTGTTCTTAACTTTAGTGGAATCCTTTTCTGTTTCTGTTCATTTAACTTGATGTTTGCTGTCAGCTTGCTCTACATTTCATTTGTTACATTTAGGTATGTTCCTTGTATCCTTGATCTGTACAAGAACTTCTTCAGTAAGCAGTGTAGAATTTTGTCAAAGGCTTTGTTAACATCTAATGAGATGATCATATGTTTTTTTTTTCAGTCTGTTTATATGGTTGATTACATTGACAGATTTTCCTATGTTGAACCATCACTGTATCCTGGATGAGGCCTACTCGATCATGTTGGTTGGTGTTTTGTTATTTTTGTTATAATCATTGATTCATTTTTTCCAGTATTTTATTGAGTATTTTTCATCAAAGTTCATGAAGGAGATTAGTCTGTAATCCTCTTTCTTTGTTGCATCTTTGTTCAATTTGAGTATCAGTGTGCCTGTCCAATTATAAGAAGTGTTTGGCAATGTTCCTTCTTTTTTTATTTTGTGGAACAATTTGAGGAGCAATGTTATTAGATCTTTTTTGAAATTCTGGTAGAATTCTGCACTGAAACAATTTGGTCCTGAGTTTTTTGTTGTTGTTATTGTTTTGGTTTTGCAACTTTTATGACTGCTTCTAATCACTCTAGAAGATATTAGTCTATTTAAATTGTTTATCTGATCTTGATTTAATTTTGGTTTGTGGTACCTATCCAGAAAATTTTCCATTTCTTTTAATGTTTTCCAATTTTGTGGAGTGCAAGTTTTAGATGTATGACATAATAATTCTCTGGATTTGCTCAGTGTCTGTTTTTATGTCCTGCTTTTCATTTCTAATTTTGTAAATTTGGATATTTTCTCTATGCCTTTTGGATAAGGGTATGTCTATCCTGCTGATGTTCTCAAATAACCAACTCTTTGTTTCATTGATTCTTTGTGTTGTTCCCTTATCTTTTCAAGTTTACTGATTCCAGCCCTCATTTTGATTATTTCCAGTTGTCTACTACCTCTGAGTGAGTTTGCTCCTTTTTGTTCTAGAGCTTTCAAGTGAAAATTTGTCCAATTCTTTATGTAAGCACTTAATGCTATAAACTTTCCTCCTAGTACTGCTTTCATAGTGTCCTATAAGTTTGGGTATGTTGGGCACTAATTTTCAATGAATTCTAGCAAGACTTTGATTTCTTCCTTGACCCAGTGGTGATTCAGTTGAGCATTATTCAGTTTCCGTAGGTTTGTAGGCTTTCTGTTGTTTGTGTTGTTGAAATCTACCTTTAAGCAATGGTGATCTAATAAGATACAAGAGTTTATTTCTTTTCTTTTCTTTTTTGTAGTTGTTGGGTTTGCTTTGAGACTGAGTATGTGGTCAATTATAGAGAAGGTTTTATGAAGCGCTGAGAAGAATGTATACTTTTTTTTGTTTAGGTGAAATGTTTTCTACATACATGTTAAGTCCATTTGAGTCATAGCATCTGTTAGTTCCCTTATTTCGCTGTTCAGTTTCTGTCTAGTAGACCTATCCA